AGCCTGAAACACCATATGTAAACAGAGGCAGGGGAGCAGTTTTCTGCTACTCTTCTTGGAGCTTCATGCCACACACACCTTGCTGGGGTTATTTGACCCCAGCAGTCTTTCCTGCCCAAAGTGGGAGGCTGGACTCAATGATCTCACAAGTTCCCTTCCAGCCCTAAACTTCTGTGAATCTATGTGAATCAGTGAATCTGTGAATAGCAACTGTAACATGGGTGAATGCCAATTATTACAGGGCGGGGCTAAGATGTTTAAGTGCATTTTTCTAATCATGCAGTCCATTTACTCATGCCGTCAGTGCTTCATAGTTCATTGTTGGATACTTCAGTTCTTCCAAATATCACTTGAGCCTAACAATGGCCCAAGCAAAAACACTCTTCCAGCCCAGTTTTTGTCCTCTTGTCCCTACAGTTTTAATACACCTGTTCATAAACTGGCTCATTTACATTGTATTTGGGTTTACTGCCACAGAACAGAGGGTAATGGGAATTAACATGGAAATTTCTAGAGACTATGTTATATAACCTAAGGCTAGATTTAACTTTGACAGTATCTTCAGTGGTTTTGTGATCACTTGCTCTAAAGCTGGTATATTGTTTCTATATTCTATGTGGTTTTTTCCTTCTACCCAAAGTAGCCATTCCTTATGCACTGAAATCAAAATTGATATCCTAAATATGAAATGGCAGAATAAATCTACAATTACAATCCAATATGTAACCAGTTACAGTTAGGATTAAAGAATGACACTTATAAGGAGTGTTACCTGAGAACAACAAAATTGGTTTGGCAGATTTACAGGTTGATGCCTGCTGAGTGACAAGTCTTTGCAGGGTTGATATTCTATTTTCTGTTTACAAAAACTTAACCCTAAAGAGTGTTAGGGAATTTGGCTTTGCAGAATAAAATTGGTTCTGATTTTTAGATAATTCAAAATAGTGACAATTTTTAAATACTCCTTTTTAAGCAATTCAGTTAATCTGGCATAGTGATTTGGCTCCTAGATAATTCTTCAGAATTAGTGGGCTTTGCTCCACCTATTTCATATGTTTAAATCTTGTTTAAATGTTCCTCTATATGAGATATTTGTCTTATAAATGTTCTTCTATGTGAAGTAAACTAAGAGAATATCAAGAAAAAGAGATGCCTCTGACTGAGATGCTTTATATTAGCTCTACCTTTAACCAGAGGTGCTTGTCTGGGTGAGTTTCACAAAGTTATCATTTGCCATATGTCCCTGTTATAGTATAGATTATGAGGAGATGCTGTCTTTCTAAATTAATTTGTTTCAATGCAAAATTGGATGTTTATGTGTTTGTGAAATATTAAAATTATGGCTTTGCCTTTTTAACCATTGTAACTGTATCATAATGCTCAAAAAAGTTATGTTCCCCATCCCCAGGAACTAAAATGCAAATACATCTGTTGTTTGTTGGCTTTCTAGAAACAATAGCTGGACTCTGTGGCTCTGACCGTTTCATTACGATTAAGCTCATTAAGATTTTATATATTTAGTATCTGTTTTACAATATTTTCATTACAGAGTATTTTATTAAGGTCCAAGTGGCTTGTATTTTTATGGTTGCATCTGGTCTATGTAAACCCTACTCTGGTTTAAACAGCTATATATCTCAGAACTGGTCATGAGAGAATTTTGAAGTATAATGTGCGGCTTCATAAGTGTCATTTGTACAGGTACCCAAAATGCTGGTACCCACTCTGCCTGATACAATCCTGTCATCTCACATTTGGAAAAGTATACATATACAATTCACAGATTGTAAAGCCAGAAGGGACCTCAGAAGATCATTGGGTCCAGCCCCCTGCACCAAGCAGGAAAGATAACTGGAGGTCAGGTGACCCCAGCAAGGTGACTGTCTACACTCCTCTTGAAGATTTCCAGAGTAGGTGATTGCACCACCCTTGGAGGGAGCTTATTCCACAGTCTGGACACCCTGACTGTGAAGAAGTTTTTCCTAATGTTGAGCTTGAATTGGTCTTCCAGGAGTTTGTGGCCATTACTCCTAGTTTTCCCCTTGGGTGCCCTGAAGAACAGTTGCTCACTGAGCCCTTGATGTACTTCCCTAGTGTAGTGGTAAGCTGCTACCAGCTCCCCTCTCAGCCTTCTTTTCTTCAGGATCTAGGCCATGTGTAGACAAAATAAGGGGCGTGTGTGCATGACATTTTGGAGTGGAGTAAATGCTTTTGCACCGCTTTAACAGTGTTGGTGTTTGCACACCTCGGTGGTGTATTGCACATTAATTCCAGCCACTGTAGCAAATTTGGTGGAGTAACGCGTCACCAACGGAACTGTGAATTAACTTGAATCTGGAGGGTATCTGGGACAGAAGTTCAATAAACTAATTTAACCTAAATCAGTTAAGTCTAATACATTCATCAAGGTTTATCTTAAACTGGCTTCAGCCATTTTGAAAGCAGTTTATGTGCATTGAATTTCTGTTGTATTACAGATTTGAACCGGTTTCCAGTCACTTATACTGGTTTACACCACTTATACTGTCCATAGTCATATGTGCAGCAACTATTAGTCTCTTGTCCCTGTTGGTGACCTCTTACCTTCACTTCCTCTACTGAACCATGTTTTGTTCCTGGATCATCTCAGGCTGCGGTACTCTGTCCTACATTTCAGGTATGCATATACAATATTGACATTTTCCCTCAAGTGCTGTGTGGGGTGCAAGTATACATTAATGTCATTCACAAAGAAACTGAAATTGGAGCCTTCAGCAGCTTTTTATTTCTATTTTTGGAGTACTAAGTTTAGTCAAACACTCAAGATCTAAAGCTACAGGTGGGCAATAATAGTGAAGTTTGCTGCTGTGCAAATTGGTCCATGAAAGACAATAGGCCTTACCTAAGCCCCAGATAAGTTCTCAGGGGAAAATTCTTCTCCCTGCACTATAGATGCAAGAATGTTTTCTTGCAGTAAAACTGGTCTGATCCTGAGGGCATTTTTGAATGGGAAGATTTGATGGAATTGGGGATCCTAAGAAAATAATGAAACAGTATTTAGTTTGGGATTAAACCTTCAAGGCCACACCCAGATGATTGCAGCCATTTGTCTCCCCAGGGACAAGTAGCAGCAGCACACCTTGTGCCACTGCTACTTTTCCCTGGGGATTGCACGTGCACTGGCACACAACAGGTTACCAATTGTGCTGGCCCCAGAAGCCTCACCTGGAGTCCTGGGGCCCTCAGGGGGCTGCAGCTGTGGCGCTCCTGCAGTAAAGAGCCTGGCCAGAGTGTGGCTCCAGCTGGAGTGTGGCTCCAGGTGACCAGGTTCTGGTTTTGGGTGGCATATGCTGCTGCCATATGCACCAGCTATTTTTTGCCATGGGTTTTTTTTTGACCCTGGGATCTTCTGGGGTCACAAAAACCCCCTGTGCTGCAAGATGACAATGCGGGGCATGCCTGCCTGTGTGGTATGTGGCACCACAGATGGGTCTGTGGCACTGTATACTGCATGTCCACACTTGTCTGGACATGGCCTAAGAGTACAGGAAGCCCTCGCTATTCATGGGTTTGGCATTCATGTTTTCAAATATTCGTGAATGCCAAACCCACATCTTAAATACACTTAAAGGAGCTCCTCAGGAGCTCCGTGCTTGCCACCACCGCACTCGTACTCCTGCTACCATGTTCCTGCAGCTGCCAGTACAGCCATGTCCCCCCCCCCTCCCCCCAGCTGCCAGGAGCACTGCGTTCATGAATGCAGATGGCAGATTTCACCATTTGTGGGGGATATGAGAATGTATCCCCCACAAATGGCAAGGGTCTCCTGTATTGCCTTTTGTGTTTCAGAATTTTCAGGACCAGATGACCTGGCAATTTATGGATCCTTTTTGGGTTTTATTCCAGGCAGTGAGGCGCTTGTGTAACAGAGGCTCTTGCAGTTGTTGGGCTAGAGAAGTGGTTCTGAAGGGATTCTATTTTTTCTGTTTCCCAATGCCTAGCCAAATTAATGTGGTTAAGAGAATGGGCCAGTCCAAAGTATTTTCAATTACTTGCTTTTTTGTGTAAAGTGGGGGATGACTTTCACAGTGACAACATCCTGCAGTCACTACTGAGAATGTGCAACTAGGAAAGGGAATTCATTTTATAGCTAGTCTAACTTTGGGGGTTGTTTTCACTCTAAGACTTGAGCAATGAAAAAAACACACCTTGCACTGCTACTTCACAGTGTTGCTGCCATGTTTAGGGTTTGGGCTCAAACCTTACACTAAAAGGGGGTGGCCAGGGCACCAGGCCTGAGTGTCTTCAGTGAGGGAGAATGTGCAGCAACCTCAGTCCTTGCCTGGTCGCCGCTGCTTCTGGCAGCCAACCTGCAGCTGCTGCCTCATGCACTGCCACCAGCACCCATCACACAGAACTGCCCAGTTTGAAAATATACTCTGTTTGAATCTACCCTCTCTTACATAGCTGCTGTAGTATATCTCCTCTTACATACCTGATAATATAAACAAATCTTTTCTGAGTTTGAAATCAAAAAGAAATCCATATGGAATATATGTTTTCTTGGTGGACATTTTTTTGCCACCCTTGTAATTTTTTTGATACTGGAAGCAGCATTTCCTATTGTTAAAGGGCTATTTTGACAAATTAAGACACTTGCTTCAAATAAAGTAATGCTCTTTTTAGTGCAGATTTCCTTTTGGTATTAGAATGGCTGTGTTCTTTTTTTTAAAATAGAAATACTATTCCTAAATTTGTGACTGCAAAGATTTAAATGGTCTGAAAAAGGCAATGCATTTTAATAAAGTTAAAATTTTAAATGTTAAATACTGTATTTTTGCATGAAGTATTTTTAAAGGCATGCTTTCTCAGAGCCAAGAAAAGTCATGTTGACCTCTGGATACAATCAACCGATGTTCAGAAGATTTGACCTGGAAGTGTAACAGTACGTGATTGGCTGGCCATGGAGCATGGAAAATAAGGTTCATACTGTACGGTAGTTGAGCAATAAGAGACTAAGGCTGTCTAATGTTTTATAGGGAAGAACAGCTGCCAGCAGATGGCAGCAGAAAGGAAAATTAGGCACATAATATAAGACATAGTGGACAAAAGAACTCAGATTTCTAACAGCCTAGTTTCACTAGCTGTTATTGACTATGCAAGGTAAGTTAGGGCTTAACTGAAAAGAGGAAATGGTTTGGACCTGTTAACTTTTTATATTTGGTGTACAGCAATATATCCTTAAACTACAAAGAACTGTGCCTCTGTGAGTATATAAAATGTCTGAGGAAGTTTTAACAAAAGATAATTTCTTAATATGTTTGCAGTGCTGTTTGCTATAAAACTTCTAATATTTCACTGATTGTATAATGAGCAAAAGTAATAATTCTGATATCCTGCTCAAAAGTAATTATGCCAATGGAGACTATCTAGATCATTATTTTTAATTAGGATATGTACTTAACCATAGCTTGAAAAAAATATTTTAATTTTCTTAGGCTCCTTCTTTGTACATACTTTGAGCAGAATGGCAATTGATCTTCCACTTTTGTGACAAATGTATATGCTGTGAATGTGTTTCTTTTAGAATCTGAAACAGGGATTACACAGAGTGCCTAGATTTAATTTAACTTTTAATCATAAAATTTGCTTAAGTAACATGCACTTTTTGGGACAGTATACAGTACATTTCACTATTCATTTTCATCAAACTGTGCTAAGTATATTTTTTATTATTAAAGAAGTTATAGAATTACCATGAACAATATTTCCTCTTTTTATAATATGTATGTGTTTGTACAACTACAATTATTGTTGCTGTATATGTGATTTATCTATTGTCTGAGTCATCCTTTCATGCCTTTCCAAGCTAAAGTTCTGTAAAAAAAATTTAAACAGGATTGAGGCACAGAAGAAAATTTCCACATGTCCCTCCATACCCTTACACCCAATAAAAATGAAAGGTAAGGAAGATGTTTTATTATTCCTAATTGATCTGTGTGAGCATTTTTTTTAATTTTGTTTTGTCGTCCCCCCACCCCGCCTTGCCCCCAGGAGCAAGGGATACACTACTAAAATTAAAGGAGCACTGTGTCAGTTAAACAGAATTGGAATTGTTTTTTAATTTGCAAAGTCTGCATTGCACAAGCTCCCTGCTACTTAGGTGGTGTTTTTTTCTGGTGGCTTGTATTAAAAAAAATGTGCAAGAATAGGCAGATTAAATGTTGGTTAAGTATGGACATCTTCCCCAGTGTGGTTCAGCATCAGGTCCTGTTAAACTATCTTTTCTGAAAGTTCATTGTAATTGAGATTTTAGAAACTTAGCAAATTGCATTTTGGAAGAGGAGGGAGGGACAGGGGCTTGAAACTGATGATGTTATACTAGGTATATGCAAAAAATGAATGCACATCCTTCTTCTCAGACTGATTGTGACAGTTATGATTGTAACAGCACAGCTTTTATAGCCCTTTCTATAAGCTGTCTTTTTAAAAGGATTTTTCAAGTGCTAAGTAAATTCATTTTGACAGTTTTAGTGATACAGAACTTGGTTTTCCTAGGTTCATTCAATACTAAAGGCATTCTCTAGAGTTGTTTCATTTTAATTGACTCAAAGGTCAGTTCAAACAAGTTATTGTCCTACTTTGCTTCATACAGATTCCGTTGTTTAAAATACTTGAAAGAAGGAACATTGCTTGGTAATCAAAAACAGAATTTGCAATTGGACAGCTGTCTTACAGACACATTTAAGGAAACAATGAAGGCCCACTGTGCCAGTAGTACAGTGTGCAGTGCAAAGCAGATACAGTGCTGCAGTTTACTTGCCATGCTGTAGATGAGCTGCGAACATGTACTTACCATTAACCATGTGGCATTTGCACATACTCAGATATCTTTTTGTTGAGTGTTTCTATAGTGTCAATTTGCAACACTGCCTATTAATATATTATCCATGTGAACCTGGCACTTTTTAAATCTAGAAATAGAGGAGCATGTAGCGGAAGTTAAGAAATTCCATTGACCCAGTTGAATATAATTACAGAGGTTAGAACTGGGGCCAGGATATTTGAGTTCTACATGTAATGTTTCACTGCTCAGCCTCTTTTGAATGGCATTACCTCATCTTGAATCCATTCAGGAAAAGAGTTGCAAATCCCACAAGAACAAATCTGAGTTATCCAGGGTCATTGCATGAACAGGACATGAACAAGTGCTTTTTAGATTTTCAGTGATAAAAAAATGCCTTTTTCATGTGATGCAACATTTTAGCTCTTAATTTCTCATATTAATTGATTTGATTTGCAAATAAGTCAGGTTTAATTCATTTTTGCTGGTTGTTTACCTGTATGCATTTGATATATGTCAAGTTCAAGTAACTCTGTCCTGGGGGTTGAGGTAAAGGGAAAGTGCAAATATGCTAAGGTGCTTTGTAAAATAATGGCTTTATGTGACCAAATGACATCAATTGGAACAAATTACATACTGCTTCCAGTGATGTAATCCAGAAAGTTTGAATTGCTTTTAGGGCTCTCAGCCTGAATGAATTCTTTTTCTTTGAGATCTTCACCAGTAATCAGCTTTTATATTGCAAGCAGCAGGTTTAGACTTTGTTTATTTCTGCAGTTTAAAACCATTTCAGGTAAAAAGCAGGTAGGGAAATGAATCATGTTTTTTGAAATTGCTAGTTTGTAACAATTTTGGATTTTAAAATATTTTTCCTTTGTTTACACTAGGGTTTGAGTTGAAATAGCAGTTTGCCTTTGATATTTAATATTTTTAATGCTTATCCGTTGCCAAAATAAGATAGGCCAAAAAGAGGCTTGGAAAAAAATGAAATAAAAGTTAAATAAATTAAATTTGTTCATATAATGCAGCGAAAGTGAAATACTATGCTTTCTGCACACAGGCAGATGAATTTACCAACAAAGATTTTAACTATATGTAACAGGTGGTAACAAATCATTTGATATACAAAATATGTAATTAAAGGCATTCATTAAAAAACTAAACAAAATTGAATCTTATGACTCAGATTCTTTTTTCCCGAATCATCTAAATTTTGAATTAAAATCTGCTACCATTAACATTGTTGCAAGAGGTAGTATTTACATTATTTTTAATATCATCTAGGAGTGTTCTGAAATTAAATTGTACTGTATACTTTGTGTATGTAAATTAATCTTTCAAAAGATGCAACAACAGCGTAGATATTTTATGGATCCTCAACAGCTGGCCCAGTTTGTGATTTGCACTGCTTTTGCACAATAATTTCTTTACCTATGGTAAGATGAATTGCCATCTTTAAAAAAACCCTCTTAATTAATTGGTCATAAAGCAGTTCTGCAAAAATTGAGCCAGGTATTAGATTGAAATAAAAAGTGTCCTATACGTTGTTAATCCTAATCATCATTTCAAATTAATTTTCAGAGGACCAAACTGTTTCACACTTGATCAGTTTGCATAGCATCTCACTTCCAGAGAAGAAGTCGCATTAACTTCAGAGGGATTTTTTTAATGAGAATAATACACTATTCAGCATGAGTCTAGGTAGTGGAACCTAGCCCCCCCAAAAAAGTATTTACAACATCAGAAGACAATAGGCATTTTGCAAAATTCCGAAATGAAAGACTTCATGAATCTATTTTCACTTAATTCATATGGTATAATTTCGATTGTGTCATGTAACATTTTTAAGTAAAATATTTTTTAAAATTGTGGACTCTTTTTAATGTAGCAGTCTTTCATAACTTTTAATAAAATTTAGAAAATGGGAACTTTCAATGTTTTTCACCAGTTTTTGCTGTTTGCTGAAAGCATAAATCTTATGAAGTTTTTAGTCTAATTGTCCCGTGTTTCGTACTCTTACTGAGTATTGGCAGTAGTCTCCTTCTCTCGCAAATAGTCTAAAATTTAATTTTAATTAATGTTAGTAAGGCTAGAAAAAAGTTTTACTTGTTTCCTATGGCTTATTAAATTATTACACTTAAAAAAAACTTCTAAACATGCATTAAAGATCTGAGTTTCTAGTATTAAAGTTGCTGTTGTCAACGAGCAATCTTTCTGAAATTATTTAAGCAAACAATACTTCTGAGGACATTTTTTCAATAATATAGGACTCAAAGAAATGCTTACAAACAAGACTCTTAAAAAGCCTTTCAGTTTTCATTTCCCAAGTATTTAGGCATCTGTAGAAATGAAAAAATACAAATGTTATTCTTTAAATATCTTATAATATCAATTAATTTAGCCTTCCACTATAGTACAGTACATTCATTGGCACAGGAGGTAAAGAGAACTACTGACAGGCAAGAGAGGAGAATTGTTCCATTTTTCAGGAACAAGAGTCTCCATGTATGCTGCAAAGAAATGAATTTGAGAACAAAGAAAAGAACAACATCTTTAAATGAAAATATGTCCAAATTTTGGATACCACAGCTAAATCTATGCTGGTAGACCATATCTGTGGATCCATTTGCAAGAGTTTAATTTTAGTGTAGTCATGGAACTCAATTGTTTATAGGGTGAATTTTCCATGTACATAAAGCTGGCTAACTGCATTGAAACTCCGCATGAGAGCCTCCCTGCGCATATATACATACATGTCTTGTAGACAGTGTGGCCAGAGCTACAGTATATTACCCATCTGCCTATTCATCCATCTTAAAATTTATTGCAAAGCTCAACTTGAGGACTTTTAAATGTGTACCATTAAAACAAAAACAACCCTTATCAAAACACTTCTTCCTAAATCCAAATCTGGCATTTTCTTGATGTGATAGACCACTGATCATTTTCAATGTCTCTTTACTTCCACACTGTAAAGTCTGATTAGTTGCTAGAAATGGGGGATCAAGCAATACCACAAATGATATCAAGTTGTACCACTGGGATAAGGAGCTTCCTAAATCCCGCTGGGATTTGCTGCTAGCTTCTAGTCCAGTGGAGTCCCAAGATATTACATTTTTAATTTGTGACTTTTTCATAGTTCTCCTGGAAGTGTTTTACATTTATTAATTTTAATTTTTGTTTCCCTCTGAGTCATGCCTAAACCAACTCATTGGCAAATTATTTGCTGTTATGCCAGCAGAGAATTTAGCCTATATTAAATAAGGTACCTGGCCTTACTGAATGTCACCCAAATGTAAGCCAAGTTTTTTTTTTTTTCTAAAATATAAAGAGCCCCCTTTAAGTTGTTTGTATCTTTGTGTTTCTATTCTGCTATTAGCTCCATGAGACAGTCCTTGCACAATGGGTGGCATAAATGCTCATGCTTGTCAATGACCTGCCTTCCACTGGCATTCTTTTCCAGGTGGCAGCACTACTGCCATTGAGCTGAATATGTGCATCTCCATTAACAAGTCCAAGGGTCCTGAGTATTTTCATCTCTCAGTGGGCACGTCTACACATGACACTACATTGCTGTAGCTACACACTACAGCAAGATAGCTTGTTGCTACACTGACAAGCTACCTCACTGTAGTGACATAGCTGCTCAAAATAACCATGCGCCATCATTTAGTACTTCCTAAAGCAAGTACTAAATGACAGTGCATTACTGACTGCATGTGGGGTGCACGTGGGGTGTGGGGCACCCAATATTATTGTGTATATTGTTTTGTGTTGCTCCTGCTTTTCCCCTCTTTTTCTCTTTCTGCTCTTTGGTGCGTGATGAATGAAGAGATTGATGTTATAATGTAACACAGTCTGACTTTCAGGTTCTATCATGGTTGCCAATTTTAACTAGGTATCAATAATATTACAAAGTCATATTACAAAGGACATGTTTACTGCTTAACATTGTTCAGATCCTCCTGATTAGTATACCTCTAACCCCAGTTCTTCTTAGGAACAACCCAAGACCTGCGTCTGATATTTGGAGACAACTTGTCTGGCTTTCTGTCTCTTTATTGCTACATGTGGTAAAGCGCTGTCTGTCTTCACCCAAACTTCTCCTTTCTCTTGAGA